TTTCTTTCTTTCGGCAGGGTTATGGGCACAGGGGAACTCCCCTATGCTACCACTACTGCTCGCTCTCTCTCTCTCTCTCTCTCTCTCTCTCTCGAATCGCGAACGATGTCCACTCGTCCTTGCATAGCCTCCTTGGGCCCCCCATGAGCAATGCATTCAGGTGCCTGTATAAGAGAACTACTCCTGCTGCTCCTGCCACGACTGTTATTCCTGGTAGTTCGACTACTCCCTCCACTCCTACCACCCTTACCACGCCTACTCCTCCTACCACTCCTCCTACTCCTGGGACAGCAACAACTGCAGCGGCTGCTGCTGATGATGCTACTATTACTGCTACTACCACTACTACTACTCCTCCTGAAACCTCTCCTCCTTCTCCTCCTTCTCCTCCTCCTACTGCTACTGCTACTACTACTACCTACTACTACTACTACTACCACCACTACTTGTTGTACCATTGCTTCGGCGACAACGACGACGACGACGACGACGACGGTTACGGCCACGACGACGAGACGGTTACGGCCTCGACGACAACGATTGCCACCACCACCGACTCCACCATCACCACCACTACCACTTCCACCACCACCACCACCACCAGCACCTTCTCCAGTACCACCACCACCACCACCACCACCATTACTAGTACTATCATGCTACTGTGCTACTCTTGCTGTCCACGCAGCTCGAAAAATGATAAACGGCAGTTTCCGCCCGGCTTTCAAGAAAAACTGTTCGAACGACAGCGCCAAACGGATGCGGACTTCGTCCCTGCCTGTCTGAGTGGGTGAACTCGTAGAAGTTCCCCTCGCCGAGGGCCCAGACGCCGGGAAACCTCGTTGCAAGAGTCACTTCAGACACAACGAGCGAACGAGGGTGCGACCATGCATGCTGCGTCGCGGCAACCAATCCTTCCATTACGATGTCTGTGCCACATGAAGACATGCAACATGCATTTCTGTGGTCGGCTCATGTCTTGCAATGTTTTTGCCTCATGCGAACCCTATCGCTCCAGCCACCAACAACAGCAGCTCGCGTGGCTGCACAACTTGCCCCACCTCTAACGGCATGTTAGACCACCTGCTCAGTGGTTGCTTAGTGACTGATTAATGGCTCAGTCAACAAGCATACTAATATAGCATGACTCCATGAGTTTGCTCTCTTGACAGCGTTGCTCTCGGCTGACGACCCATTCCTCTTTCTCGGCAGGACTGCCTCTCCCTCCGTACTCTCCCTCCTCTCCTCTCTCTCCCCTCTGTCTCTGTCCCTGTCTCTCCCCCACTAAACCCTGTTAACAGTACTCCTTGCCATTTCGGCTTGCCCTTGTTCTTTGTGTCGAAGCCGCCGGTTCCGCGCAACCCAGTCTGCCACGACAGACCTGACAGAGCTCAACGTGAAGAAAGCGCCTGTCAAAAACACTCTGGACTTCGTATGTGAGCCCTGCCTGACGCAAGATGTTTGCAAGAGTTGTTCTTTCATGGATATGATGAACCATCATGTCATGATCCGGATTTGGGCCATGATCCTCCTCATGATGGTGACAATCATGACAACAGTCATGTCGATGAAGATAATGATGCAGCGGCCCTTTCAAGAAATTTCTCCGGGACCCTGAGCACCAAGAATGGGGTCTCAAGCCTGGCCACGATGACGATGGTAGTGATGATGAAGGCACTGCTGCTGCTGACGGTGGTGGTGGTGGTGGTGGTGATGGAGGCGGCGGCAGGCGGCAGTGGTGGTGACGCTCGTGACGGTGGTGAGGATGAGGATGAGGATGAAGATGCGGATGAAGATAAGGTTAATCATGATGATGCTGGTGATGGTGACGGTGACGGTGATGGTGATGGTCATGATGATGGTGATGATGATGATGATGACTATGATCGTGATGATGATGATGATGCTGATGATGATGTGATAGGTCATGATCATGAGCATTTCGGAAAATGCCGCGACACTGCATCCTTCTTGTCACGTGTTCTCAGCACACGTGTGGTTGCTGATCTTGGCATGTATGATTCATATCCGCAGCTCTGAGAAGATGGGCAAGCTGTTCAACTCTCCCGGTAATTCATGATCAAACCTGAATCACAATAACCTCTGCGCACGCTTATGGCCAGTGCATGCGGCATTACGTTTCCTCTACTCCCTGGATACTTAGACCTCGCCAGATGCACTGCAGGGCCCAAACAGATTGTCCATCGACCCCTCGTAGTAAGATGCCTGAGGCAGGCGTCTGAGAACAAGCTCCTCTTCAGAAGAATGTGTGAAAGCCGACGGGCTTTGAGCTTGTTGACACGCTGCTTCTATGCATGCTATGCGGATGTCCCGCTTCATACAAGCTGACAGGAATCCTGAATGCACATGCAACTGCAGCAGTGACAGGATACGGAACGAAAAAACATATAATAGAGGCTGGAGAACGTCAGGCAGACACGGTCAGAGCGTCCGGGAGAGTAAATGACAAGCCAGTTGTGTCTGCGACAGGCGAGGCAAATGAAAGTCTGCGGTGTTCTCCCACAGCCGCTCTTGATTCCAAAAGCTTGCTTTCACAATCTCGCGTTTGGAAAGCTGAAGGCGCAGAAGAACAAACTATTGAACTATTGGCGTCAACAGCAGCGTCACCACCATCACCACATCAGCAACATCCTTCCCGCCCACATACTGCAAGCCGCCAGGGCTGAGGCTGAAAAGGTGGCAGTCCCTCGTCCGGGCCACAGCTGCGCAGGGCTTGCCAGAACCTCTGAAGGCGGGGGAACGGATCCAGCATCATTCGTCGTCGGATCTATCATTGGGATTGATGCAAGAGTCATGTGGCAATGACCTAACAAATGGCAATCGTCGTGATGCCAGCAATCTGACCAGGGCCCACAGGCAGCACGTGAATCCCACCACTGCAGCAGCCAACGAATGAACCAAACACGCCAAGACACCCAAGAACCGCAATTCCTAAAAGCCTGAAGCCCTCAGTGGAGCCAATCACCCCTTCCGTTTTGATGGCTTCAGCTCTGCTCACTTCGGCGCAGCGCACTGCTGCATAGGACGGTATATGTACCTGGCCACGGACTGAATTGACAAGGAAATAAGAGCTCAGGGCTGAGGTAGGCGACCACCTGTGCCAGCCTTTCTGGATGTAGTCCGGAGGCATCTACCACCAACAGTGACAAACACACCCAAATACCACTCGAAATGCCGATCACTGTGCCGTCATGTCACATACGCACAGACAAACCTTGGACTCAGAGCGCTTTCGGACTTGCATTCCCACGGTGACGGGCAATCGAGAATCAACTCTGCGTCTGTTCACCAAATGCAGTGAGGTCACACTCGAGAGCCCGCAGGGTCGCGTTTCGTCCAGGACCTGACTGAACAAGCCTAAGATTGCTGAACCTTAACCCCAACGCAGGCACAGTTCGTGCCTCAACCCGTGCTCAGGGACAACGAAACCCTGCAGGTCGTCTCTTTTCTTTGGCTTCTGGAAAGCATGACGACCCAGTGTGTGTATTCAAACTAGTGCTGAATGAGCCCCGCGTCTGATGTCTCTGCAGCGACAGCATGGACGAGTGCGGACCCTCCGGAAGCGTTTCGCGCTCACAGGCCGGATGAAAGATCTTCTTGACCGAGCGACGTTTGGAGCTGGGCATCTACCTCCTCGAAGCCCGGCAAGCCCTTGGAAAGATTGGGCGATACTTTCTGGCCACTCTTGCGGGTTGCGAAAGGCTTTGCGAGTTTCGCGATCTTCTTGGAAATTCCTTGGACTGTAGCACCGCACAAACATGTCCCGTAACGGCTACAGGACATGCTGTCACAAGTCAATGCGCAGCTGCACATCCCCCACGGCAACACCCTGGAGCTTCACGGTGGCCAGCCGGAACCGTGATGCTATTACAGCTGCGACCGTGGAGATTTTGCATGTTGTTGAATGAGTATTGCCAGTTCCGCTCCTGTTACTTTTCAGGCTTTACCGTGCACAGAGCATACTTTCGTTTCTACTCTGTGACATGACTTATAGGAATACATACGCTGCATTACGTCGCCGAACCCCAAATCAAATTTGCGACGGGCATGTCCTGAAACGAATGAACGCTACGAAAACCGCATGACCCTCGAGCCTCAGGTAGCCGCTTCAGCGATGCCGCAGCCTGGAGGTTCGTCGCCTCCTGACCAGGGCCTCCTACTCTCTTACTTTTTGTCGACAGCCATGATTCGGAGACGCTTACTTTTCGAAAGACCACGAATCTTTTGAAACTCGTGAGAAATTTGGAGACTCTCCTTGCTCTTGAAGCTAGAATCTAGAAGCCTTTCAGCCTGTTCCCCTCGAACTGAGTGGCTATCGTGTCCGAAGGCATAGTGAAGTGTGGATTTCGAACCGATTTTTTCCTAGTCGCAGTGTCGATTCTGAGCGGGCAGCCGTCAGGGTTTAGGAATGCAGGTTACCAATGAGAAGCTTTCGCAGATAAAGATCGGTGGCCGGCTGAATGCGGAAGCTGGATATGTGGACCAGCCTTCAACAACTTGTCAGCAAGCTTGCGCAACATCGACGGGCACCTCGTCAGCTGGAACATAGCCAAATGCGAATTAATATCTGATTCTCTCCCCCACACAAGCGTCATAACCACAACCTTGCAAAACCTTTCTGACCTCAAAGCAACGAGGAGCCATGAGGTGGAGGCCATGTAGACGTGTGTGGCGTGGCGCAAGTCCACCTGAAACCTCAGCTGGCTCAAGATGGGGCACGTGGCTCCAACGGCCTAGCCCACCCCTGGTTGCTTCCCCCGAATTCCCCCTATAGGACAGGCCGCATATCACCTTCGACAAACTCCACCTCGCCGGCGGAGGTCAAAGCATCAGCAATCATCCCTTCCTGGTGAGACAAAGCATGGTCAAGGTCGAACCGTGAATCAGGTTGACATATCGGCTGCAAGACATGGCGACAGGCGAAGCCTCCAGGGCCTGACCCAGCAGTGCGCGTCGGCGCAGCAAGGGCAGCGCACCGGCCCGGAGCTCCTCCAGAACTTCCTGGGCTCAGCGGCGCGGGCTCGGCGGAGCTCGCTGTAAAAGCTTTCATTGACTTCACCGTGCCAGGCAGCCCTTCCGTTCTTGGCCCGCCCGGGTGAGAGCTCCACGCCGAGCACGCGGCGAACCCTAGACAGGAGGCTGGCGGCTTCTCTTGGGCCAGGAGTTTTTTGGCTCGCGTTCTCAGGTTATGAGAAGCGAGTTTACATCACCCCACCACGGTACTGCCCCGTCATTGGCCTTGGGTACTCCAGATAGATCTGCACCACTGCCCTTGGATGGAATGCGTACACGCACCAAAGACAAACTTGTGCGTTCCGGCAGCCAGGTCTAGACCCTGTCTTTGCCATGGCATAGTTCTGGCCACGCTGCTTCCCGACGCCCGCCCCCAAATCGACGAAGGAGGCCTCTGTGGCCTGCAGGACGGCTCCGCAAAAGAATGGCAAAAATCCACGAAGACAGGGATGCCTCGTTCAGGCCCAAGAATCCAGAGAGCTGCCGCACCCCGTTCGCAGTAAGCTGACAAGGATCAGCGGACACGGTGGATTCCAATCATGCTTGCTGCATTTTGGATGGCGCCTCTCCGTACACGTGCGCGGATGCAGGGTCACCATCCGAACTATTGCGGACTCGCATCTGGGCCATTTTGGCATGCAAAAGCTTCCGATGTCGATTCTGCAGCATGGGAGGGGGGGCCTGGGCTTGCTGGACAAGCTCATCGTCCTCGATACTGATCGTGTAGCCTTGGTGAAGTCGCACACGCCACAAAAAAAGTGTTCGCGTGCGCTTCTCCGATGTTCACGTACCCCGCTCAGCTCCCGGCCTGTCCGCGTAAAGTCCTGAGTCTGACATGTGCTCTGATTCTCTGTTTCTCTTTTCTTTCGTCAGGGCTGTGATGCAGGGAGAAACCCCCTTACATCGCGCGCCAGTGCGCCCCCGACAGCTGCGGGAGGCAAAAATTAAGTTTCTCTCTCTTCTTCAACTCAGCCAGAGGAGAAGTGTGCACCCCACCCCCCGCCCCGCGCTCGCAAGCACACTGGTGTGTTCGAGTCGGTGTGATAGCGGTGGAGTGATGAGGCACGGCCACGCTCCATAGAGACCCCCCTGTCCTTACAACTGTATTAAATTCCCTGGCCTGGCGCCTCATCTTCGCTTGTTCCCCGTGTTGGGTTGCTGTGCAGCTCTGTGCTTTTTGCACGGAGGCGCTCTGTGCTTCGCAAGGATTGACAAGTTACGAACGAAGGCACACAAACATCACATGACTGCATCCTGTTCCCCCCTACGAGCACGTGGCAAGCTACTACTGAGGTCCCGGCCTTTCCACAAACACACAACACTCGGAAGTCAGGTGATTCTAGTATGACTCTTGTACTGCGTTGATTCCCCTCTCGGAACTACTCTTGACTGGATGGCCTTCTCTACGGTAGTTCAAGACAGGCTGGAAGCAACAGGTACACGGTGCCCTGCAGTACACTGTGCACTATCCATTGTGGTGGCCTCCTTGTTGAAAGCAGCTCTGCACAACTCGCATGGCAACTTGAGGCTGGTACGACACTTCAAGCAAGCTGTGTCACATGACATGATACATTTGGACCTCCTACACAACTTCTCTAATCCACTGCCTCACGCTCCCATAATTGTCGAAATGGGCCGCATGCAGGCCGCGCCTATGCGGTGGCTCTCTTCACTCGGCGACCCCTCAGCTGGCGTCTCATCCCGTGCGCCTCTTCAGCCCCTGCTTCCTCGGCATTCTCCCAGAACTTGGAGCCCTACCACTGCTCTGCTCCCAACGGTGGCACCGTGGCACCCAACGCGCTTGCGGTGGTGCTGCTTCCCCCGGCGAGGGCAGCGATTCTCCAAAGAGCGAAAGCCCCCCATCGCCTCCATCTGTGGTCTGCGTCTCCACATGTATATGGATTCTCCTTGAGACTGCGCTTGCTGCCATGCCACCATTGTCGTCGAGGTGCTGTGGTTGCCCCACCCAGAGCTTCCTCATGCCCCTGGATGTTGGCGCTCGCCGGATGGCCTGCTGCACCCCCCGATGATGATGACTGGCTTGCGGTTTTGCTCCGTGTCCACCGTAGACCCTGCCGCCGATGACCCCAGCGGTTTTGCCTCTAGCGCCCCCAAGCGTGCTTCCATGTCACTCTGCATCTGCTTGACCTCCAGCGCCTTGGCTTGGTCGTCGTAGTTCGTGGTGCTGCGGGCCAGCATGGTCATGGTGGTCTGCATCTGCTGCGTGACCCCACTTTCGACCGCGGGCACCCTCTTTCCAGGCTCGTGACGAAGTGGGCCCGGTCGATGTCGCGCTCCTCGGCCAGGACTGCACGGAGCATCGTTGTTCGAGCGTGCGCTCAAAGGCAGTGCCGCCGATATCGGTCAGGTTGCTGTCCTTACTGCCCCCTCACTCGCCGGAGCTGCTGCGGTTGCCCCCGAGGTCCCTTCTTTACGTACTCGCGCTGCGGAACCCGCGGCTCGAGGAAGCGTGGAGCAGCGAACTTCCCCTCCATGAGTATGGCACTGGCCCAGGGGCTGAAAGCACGGAAGGCCCCCGTGACAGGCTCTCTCTTCGAGTCTCACTGCGCTCCGGCCGGGTTTGAGGTCCTCTTCTTTCTCAGGCGCGGAGCTTGAACCACTCATATCTTAAGCCGAGATTGGGTCTCTTTCTCTCTTTCTCTCTCTCCTGGCCATAAGGACCGGTCAAGGTCCCCTGGCATATTGCCCACCCAGCAATTTAGGTGGGAATGGGGAGTGAGAAACGATCGTAGTTCGTCAAGCGGCTCATGCCATATAGTATACGATAAGTGATGCATTGACAAATGTACGATCTCTGAAGACACGTGCAGGAGGTCTCAGACTCCCTTTTATCCCCCCTCAAGGATCACTTCTGAAATGACTGGAGATGGCATGCGGATGATTTCCTTAGAATAATGCACCCTGCAACCTAAACCATGCGAGTACAACAGAGGGGTCTTGTCCACATGCCATGATCGCGATGAGCATTCTCCCTGTCCCTCTTTTCATGTAAAACAAGGACGCAGCCTTAACATGACCCCCTTAAAGGGAAAGCATGTGTGCAGCAAGTCCGTCTGGACAGGGGGCATTTTGCTAGTGATCCTGAAAGGAGTTTGGGTTCTGAAAGGAGTTTTGGGTTCTGCCAAGTAGACACTATACATGCCAGCTTTCCCCCAGTACCATAGATGTGCAGAAATAAAGAGCACTGAAGACTATACGCATACAGGTTCGGAAGCAAAGGATGTTTCTTGGGGCCTTTGTATCGAGAATCCCCCAGCACCCGCGTGTTGCAAATCAATGACGACAGCAGTTCATAAACCCCTAGAGGGGCATCGTAATGTAATTTTACCAGTCGGGGGAAGAACTGATGTGTACCATAAATCATCTTCAAAGCCCCGTAACATATGGGGGGCCTAAATGGCTGGGGGGCCTCAAATGCTCCCCAAGCCCCTGGCGGCATCACGGCTTAGGTTGGGGAATGCACCTCATACAGATCGCCCCAGTCCTACAGAGCCAATGGAAAGTGACGAGAGTGCAGACTCGCACCGCTGACAACGCATGCATGGTGCCTTCAGAGATTGAGTACGCGATCCGGGGGAAGCCGCACTGACTTCGGCAGCGAAAGGGGAAAGTGCGGGGGACAGCTAGGTAGCCTCGTTATGTCCCCTCTAGTCGGATATCAGAGCTGTGCCTTGCCTCCACACGGACCAAACAACCGAGGGAGGCTTCATCACAGGGGGGACCTGTCAGGTTGAAAACCTCTTCACATGGTTGCCTGTAGGCTGCTGTTGAATGCTGTGATTTTGGTTTCAGATAAAACCTGACAGGGGAACAGCTTGTTGCTTGGGCACTTCAAGGCCTCCAAAGAGTGTTCTGTTCACATGGTACCTCCTAGGTGATCATGCATTGCTGTGTCATCTTTTTGCAACGCATGAGGCACAACGAGGTATGTCCCGTCAAAGTTGCTGCAAGGGACTTGTTAATATTAGGCCTTGATCTAGAATTGTGATCTGGGGGTGTACCGACTTGTTTGCATAGACTTGCTCCGACAGCGCCTTTCTGCCTCCGCCAGTTGCGTAGATACGAGATCCCCCTAGCGCCCGAAAGTCTGTACTACGCATGCTTCCCCGACGTGTACCATCAGTGAATGTCGCACTACAATGCAGCTTTGGGACACCTTATTGGTGATACTACTGGAAGCCCGCCATACATGCCAGGGTGTTGGAATTAAGGCAAGAAGGTAACAAAACAGCTATCTCATTCCCCCGACATGCCCTGGCTCCGAGCTGAAATTGTAGTTGCAGGCTGACTGAAAGCTCCGACTGTTGGCAAGGAAGAAATAACTCCAGATGGATCACCAACGATGGATCCGCCCTGGAGCTTTTAGTCGGCCATGCATGTGGAGGCTTTGATCCCCCGCTTTCTTTAAGCTGACAGGGCGCCGCAAACGAGGGCAGCCTAAAAGGGATAACATGCGTGCTTGCAACGTCTGTGCCCACCAACAGTTGTGACATGCCTACGTTGCATGGCTAGCTGTAGAAGCTTTGTGAGTTCCGCGGCATGCATACAAAACCAACACTCAAGAAAAAGAAGGACCTACCTAAGCGATTGAAGATTTGACAAGGTTTCACGAAAGCTATCGGCCCACCTTGCACATGGGTGTACTTCCCCTTTCGTGGTGCTCGTCTTGTCGTGGCGATGCCGTGACTCACAGAGTACATACCTGCGAAAAACCTAAAACATCGTTCCCCGACATGCCGCGACATGATGCGGTGCCGGTAACATGGAACTGATGGCTACAAAGGTTGTCTAGAGTCATTAGAGTTCACACGGGTCGTGTGTTGGTTGGACACATCTTGCAACAAGGACACAGCACGTCGATAGCTGCCTAAGAAGGTAACATTTGTGCTAACAACTATGGTGTCCACCAACGTTCGTGACCTGTATATGTTTCAAAGCAAGACTTGCGAATGCTTTGCGAGTCCCCCTGGCACTGACACAAGCACAAAGTACAGGACGGTACGGGAAATTTTCATGAACGTCTAGGCACGGCGAGGTTGCAGAGGCGACTGCTAGGTATTGAAGGTTGATTCTTGACTTTCCCCGATTCACTCCGGGTGCTCCGCTCCAGCCATGGACACCGGTCTCATAGTTCGTGTGGGGCCATTCTTTCTCTCTCTCTCTCTCTCTACCAGGCTGGAGAGACTAGGTGCGTCCAGACCTAGCCCCTCGCGCGCACGCGCGCACCCGCCTCTCTCTCTCTCTCTCTCTCTCTCTCTCTCGCTCTACGGGGCAAAGGACACAGGGTGGTCCGACCCTGTGCCCTGCGCGCGAGCGCGCACCCGCGGTCCACGGGTGTCTAACTCAATTCCCCCGGCGGGTGTTCCCACAGGGGGCTCGGCTAAACAAGGAGAAGAAAAGTTTTCCCCAGAGGCTGGTCACAGGCAAGAGGGCGCGGCTACCAGTAAAGACAGCAACCAAGTAAGGCTCCGGCCGAAGTAATGCTAGCTTGCGCCCCCCCGCCCCCCCTCCAGGTTGAGTTTGCGCTCTCTCTCTCTTTCTCTCTCTCTCTCTTCTAGGGCTTAGGGAGCTGCTCTCTCTCTCTCTCTCTCTGTCTTTCTTTCTTTCACAGAAGCCAGCAAGCTCCGTGCAAGGCCAAGAATCCCAGTGCTTCTCAAGCAGCTCATCAACCTTTCATCTTCTTGCACACAGCGGAGACGAATCGCAAGCTTCCGAAACCCTTCTTAGCACCTCGGCTCGCTGGGCGATGCGCCAGGCGCTCTCCGTCGGTGGCGGCCGCCTGCACGCCAAATCCCCTCTGGCAGATCCCGATCGAAAGAAAGTGACGCCTCGAGCCTCGTGTCCGCGCACGAGCAATCAGACCCCCTGGCCAACCAGCAAGAGCCAATGGCGACGAGGCGCCGCATGCCGACTTGTGGAGTCGTCCGCTTGCCACAGAAGCATCCTGTGTAGTCCTACCATAACATGGCCAACACAAGCCAAAGCCTACATCGCTGCTTCTTTGGCTTTCTGGACATTGGTCGCTGGCAGACTCTGCAGAACCTAGATGGAACTCATGTGGTGGCTGTATCCAGCTCTCCTCAGCACTCAAATGTCTGATGCTTGGACCTCCAACTTGCTCCAAAATGGCTGCCTGCATGCCGCATGCCGGTGCCATGCTCTCTTGAACGCCTCCACAAGCATTTTGGGCGCTCTTGAGCTCCTACAGTCGTTGGGGTGCTGCGCAGCGCTCTCGGACTCCCGGCTGCCAGCGAAGCCGCCCCGGCTGCATCCTTGAGAGCCTGCACGGGGTTGGAGGAATCTGCGAGCTGAGTACTTACCTGTTTTTGAGCTTCGTCGGTGTGCTCCCCACACCTGGCTTTGCGAGAAGTTACTGACTTCAGCTTCCGAAAGCGTAACACCTTCCATTCTGGACACGGCGTGCTCGGAGTTCGGAACCGGGTCCCTGCTCGTGTGAGCGGTTGGTGGAGAGAACTTGCGAATCTTGTGTCACTCGTGTGTGCAACTCCTGTCCTTGTGGGATATCTGGAAACATGAGAAGAACGGACTTGCTCAAACGATCTGTCATGCAACACTGCTCCAAAATTACATCACATGATCATCACATGCAATCGAGGAGAAGATGCGTTATTCACAAACTCGAAGCGAATGCGGCACCCTATTCTATAGTCGAACAAAATCAGACGAAGCCTCGGGCAAGAGGTCCGCAACAGAAGGAGCCTCGAAAGCAGAGTGCACTGGGGATGCAAACAAATGGTCTCCGAGTGTGAAATGACAATCTGAGAATCCGCCCTGGGAAGGTTTGGCCCTCTAAGAACTGGACCGATGCGATGATGTGTCGGTCCATGTACCTGATGAGGACTCTTGCATAGATAGTAACCTGCCTGACCTTGCCATTCATGAAATGCCACAAGACGAAGAGGGTGAGCTGTTTGCAATGCAGTGGACGACAGAGGTTTGCTCTCGAAAGCTTTTTTCTGGAAACTGGAACGAGCTCTCGTACTCGGAATGCTCACGGCCGCGGCTGACCTCCAATCAACCGAGCCCGTGGCCGCCCAAGGTTGGAACGCTGGCAAATTGCTTGTGTCAAGAAGATCTCGCTTTGAATGCTGCCATGTGTGCCACTGTGTACTGTACTTGAACGGGACTGACGGCATATTGGTTCGGGAACGCTTCCAATTAGTGCTGAAAGATGCTGCAAGCTTGGAAAGTCCAAAGTGCAAGCATCTCGTTGCGTCTGAGATCTGTGCATCTGCCAGACCCTGGGGTATGAGTTGAAAACCAAATTGGGCTTCGGCAACGCTCTTCGCCTGCCAAAACCAAAGCTATAGGAGGCCCACAGAAGGCCGCAAAATGATGCAGGTCGGATCGGAGCAGCAAGAGTCTGAGACCCGCTGCATCGCTGCACACTCGCGCAGCTGCTGTACTGGGCATCAGCCCTGGAAGATGCTTCCTCTCAAAAGCTGAAGAGGCGCCTGCACGGATGGAGAAAGGACGACTTAGTTCGTGGCCCAAGTGTAAGTAGTAAGTCGCACGTGCAACATGGCCATAAGTACTAAGTACCCTCTGCTTTCCCCTCGCACCACCAACATTACGCAGCAGACTTCGACATTCAGCGATTGCTTGGTAGACAAGTGCACTGCCCCTCAATGCCCGTTCGAGGTTTAGGGACATGATGCCGAGGCCTCAGATCCTGGCGTCTGGGCCCTCAGCCAAGCGGGTGATGATGCCTCAGGCGCAGACCCACCAACAACAAAAAACACAAACACATACAGACAAACTGCAGAGCCTTCAGAGGCACCTCTAGAAGCCGGCATAAGCTCTTACGAGACTTCGACAAGCTGCTATAAAACCTCCACATTACCAGACCAAGGGGCCATTGAAGGTGGCACTGGGATTCATGGCAACATCGGCTTTGGCCTTGTCCAAACAGCGGGGAGAGCTTCCGGAGTGCGATCATCTAGTGACTATAACTCAAACGAATGAGGCAGCGTTTCGGATCATTGAGACATGAACTGGATACCCCCGCCTTGTCAACGTGGTAGTAGCCACCAATATCGACGGACTTGCCCTGGCACTCAATCATGTCCGACAGGATGGCCACTTCCTTCTCCTCGGACTCGAGCTCTGCAGCTGCTGGTGCCCTGCTTAAGATGACAGGCCTTGAGCTGGTCGGCCACGCTTGAGAAGGTGGCCTAACGAGCAAAGATCCGGAATTCCAACGCTGCGCCGCTGCGCAGCGGGTACCGGAAGCAGCTTCGATTCCCGCTGGTCTAGGACCAGGATGTCCCTGGGTGCCTTGAGGCGCTGCTCCTCCTCCTGCGAAGCCAACTCCTCAGCCCAGTAGCCTCGGTTTGCTTGGGACTGGTACTAAACGCACATGTCATCATCGATTGGCACACATTCGCAATGCTCCGGAGCCACTGAGCCTAGCCAGGCCAAGCAGGAAGCGACGACTTTCACTCCTGGAGCTGGCTGCAGTCAGAGCAGCGGGCGACCCAGTAGTGGCTCCCGCGATTGTCGATCTCCTTGACCTGCGAATGGACGGATGTGTCGTGGAACTTGAGCCTAACTCGGAGAAAATCTCCCGGAGTCGTAAGGCTTTCGTGACGGGTGCTGCTGCTGCTGCTGCTGGATGCTCATGCTGACGCTGGAGCTGTTGCTTGTGCTGTTGCTGGTGCTGATGCTTACAGGCATGACTAATGAAGTACTTGTTTCATACGAGCCGTTTCGAAAGCGCACCAGAAGTTGCCATTTCGAATGGTATATGTCTTAGAATCACCGGATATGTTGAGGGTCATTTCGAAGCGATAAGAAAGCCGGCAGCAAGCTACTGGCACTTTATCGTTTCAAAGTGATGGGCTTCGCAGTGAGTGCGAAGCCGATTTGATGCTGAGATAGCGAGGACGATAATGCTGCTGCTGCTGCTGCTGC